CCGCAACCGCAGAATCTTTAGACGTCTCTTGTCCGCGAGCCCATAAATAAAGCCGATCCCGGCTCATTTTTAACGATCTGCATATTTTGGCAACATAATTAACGGTGAAAAGAATGTGAAAAGTAGCGAATCGTAACACGAAAGCCAGAAACAAAAAAGCGAATAAAAGAAAAAAAAGAAACACGCGACTGAAGAAAGGCGGAAGAAAGAAGCAGAAGGTTTCTACGCGCCTCGAGCGGATCGCCGTCTCTCAGTTCGAAATCTCCCGTCCATCCCATCGGTGCCTCAAGCAAATCTTCTGGCCAAAAGCCCAAGTGAAACCGCCGATAATGCAAAAGGGGAAGTGCCAAAAAAAGCGAGTTAAGTGAGAGCAAATCTAAAAGAAAGCATCATCATATCAGCTATTGCCGCTGGGGTCGCAAACTAATCGGGCCCAATGATCGCGATTAGCGATAACACGCGTGGTCAGCGATTAGTGCGCCTGCAAATAGCATTTCTCCTGATCGGTTTTTGGGATATTGCTAAGGGTCTGACAGTCGACAATCAATTAGTATCCGCACGAAATGGTAAGTGGAATGGTAGAAGCTGATATCATCATTAAACATTATGGTTATGTTAGTTATGATTGCAATACACAGAAAACATTTGTTATACCCTTGCAGAGGGTATTTCAGTCAAAAGTTTGTAACGCAGTGAAGGAGACATTTCTGACCCTATAAAGTATACATATATATTCTTGACCAGCATCACCAGGAGAGTCGATATAGCCATGTCCGACTGTCCGTCCGTCTGTCCGTTTCTACACAAATTAGTCCCTCAGTTTTAAAGCTATCTGCTTAAAACTTTCCCAAATGTTGTCTTTCTATTGCAGGTAGTATATAAGTCGGAACGTGCCGGATCAGCCGACTATATCCTATAGCTGCCATATAACTAAACGATCGGAAAGGCCATAACTTTGGTGTTTTTTCAAGTTAGGAAGTTGGGATTTATGAGTATTAAGAATGCATCATATGAATAATTTTGGAGAATATAATTTACAGAATATTCTGCAAGGGTATATCAACTTTGGCTCAGTCCGAAGATAGCTTTCCTTTCTTGTTAATTTCTTTTTTTTTGGTCTTTGGGATTTGGTAGTATTTAAATATTATGGAATTACGGTTATAATTAAAATAAACGATGGCAAAATGCAGAGCAAAGTGGACAGAGCTTCATTGTTTTTAGTAAGAAAGGCATAGAAATCGAAAATTAGTCGATTTGTAATAACTTCAAGGATATATAAACTACGGCTTGCCGAAGTTTGCTTCCTTTCTTGTTTTATAATAATTTTAAAGATAGGTAAATATAGTTTCCTTGAGTTCTATAACTAATACCTAATTATATATACTTTGATGAAGATAATATTTTTATTATCAAATGCAAAAACAGGAAGACCAAGTATATGCACAATAACAAACAGTGTTTCTTATCTAAGTAAATATTTAAATTGGAAAATAAAAATGATTAAACAAACAGTTTTCCCATCATTCACAATTACTTCAGCATTCAAAATACAGTTACCATGTTAATAAATACCATTTAATATACAATTGGTCGTAAAATCAGCTTAATGTCATTTTGAAAACTGGCTTTTTATGAGAATTATGCGAATGGGAAAATGGCTACAATATGTTTCTTAACGGAGTGATTAAAGATACTAGTTTTTGTGTTGTGAACCCATTTTGGTTTTGAAACCCAGCTGTGCAGAAAAAAGTAAGAGATTAAAGGTGTACTAAATTTAATATAGAATGGTAGACAATATGAAATTACTGCGGGTTGTTCTTAACATATAACAACTTATTTATAAACCTAATAGGTAGTAGCATAATTAAAGCTCTAGTAGAATTTTGTTTATTAATCATAACGACTTACATTACTAACGAAATATTTAACTATTCTAAATGAGATAATTTCTTGGAAAACATTATGACATTATCCATAGGCTGGGGGATAATCCATCAAGCATGTCAGAGCACAGACACCGCAGACCAATGTGTTTTGTCTATGGTTTGACCTTTTTGAATTATTCATGCACTGACAAAAATTCTATGGGTCACCCAACTGCGTCCCGCGAGCACGCAAAGTTAATAAAATTCAAATTCAAATCCAAATGGAGAACAAAGCCAGCCAACAATCGAAAACAGACAATTGCAGAGTCAATAAAACTAACCTACCGTAGAGTGGACGAAGTGGAGCACCAGCGGTGGCCTTGAAAGTGCAAGTGGGGTGACGCAATTGTTTAAAACGAGGGGGGCGGGGGGTATTACTCAACTGCCAGATGAACCTTTTGTAATTTGGATCTTACATCTACCATCTTGCATCGACAGACTGCTTCGAGCGGATTGCACTGGAGGCGATGCTGCCATTTGAGAAGACCTTCCGCACCGAAGACACCAACTCGCTGAAGATGTGCAAGGAGAAGTGTCTGCAGGCGGGCGAGAAGTGTCAGGCCATCTCGTTCGGGTGAGTCGTCTTCCACCTGTCACCCCTTGATTGCCCAATTTCCACCTTAGGTATATGTGTGTTTTCTTTTATATTTTTCGGATTTTTGCAGTGTTCATCGACGCGGAAACGGCACTTGTCAGTTGTCATCGGAGCAGTACGGATCGGGGGGCGGCGGGCGGCCGGGGGGCGTGATTTTCGATCCCGACTTTGATCTGTACACGCGCAAAACTAACTGCTTCGACTTGAGCGACAACTCGATTGCCCCCGGTCCACTGCCCGTGCCCGGTCCGAGTCCCATCTCGCCCGGTCCGACGCCACTGGATCTGCCGAACAGGCCTTTGGATGTGGGCAATACGCCTGTGCTGGTGGTGAACCCCACGCCCCACACAGGAGGTGGGGGACCCCCTCCTCCGCTGGGACCCCCCTCCCTGCCGCCACCTGGCGTGGGCGACCGGCTGTACTTCTCGCACGACCTGTATCCGCTCTACAAGTACCCCACGCTGTACGAGAGCAACTATCCGTCGCCCAACGAGGAGGCCTACATTCCCGGCGGTTATGCAGCCAATGCCCCCGAAGTGGATGAGCGATATCGACCGCACTACGGACCCATCGAACCAGCAGAGGACGAGGGCATCCGGCCCACCCCCCACAGCCCGCCGAGACCTATCTTTGGGTTGGGTTACGGAAACGGGTACAGCTACGGGTCCCCGGAGAGGTATACACCGCCGACGGTGAGGCCATCGAGTGGATCTTCGGAGGAGCGACCCAGCTATGCGGCTAGGCCACCGCGTCCGACTGCCGATCGTCCCGACTATCCGCCCATGTCGCCACGCCCCACAGCCGATCGTCCGGAGTATCCACCCCGCCCCTACGACAGTTCCACACCGCCTTCTTATGGACCACGACCGAGTCCCAGCTTTGATCCCCATCGCGAACCACGGCCGGACTACACCAATCGACCCGACCCACCGGCAATGTCGCCACACGATGGCTACGGGATGAATGGACCATCGGCACGTCCACCCCCTCCCTACGAAGGTCCACATCCACCACCGCGGGATGAGTACGTCCGAAGGAACGGCAGTGCCATGCGACCCGGAGACGGATACGGAGGATACGACGATGACAAGACCATTGCCACCTACTTCAATCCCGATGACTTCATGCAAGGGAACAGTAAGTGTATATTAAGGTGGTGGTTGTGTAGGAAGACATAACTATATATATATACTATAGAATATATGTAGTAATGACTATCACTTACATTTATATAAAAAAGATAAGGATATTACTATATAAAAGTCCGAATATGTTTGGTATCCAGTACAAAACAAGAGAGAACGCTATAGTCGGGTGCCCCGACTATCAGATACCCGTTACTCAGGTAATGGGAGTGCGAGGGAGATGGAGATAGAAACTTTGATCACGCATAACTTTTTAACAAATGGTCCGATTTGAAAAATTTCTTCTACATTTCGATAGGTATTGATAAACACAATAAAACTGCATTTTTACTTTTCCGAAATATTTAAATTTTTAAAATCGTCTATAAGCGATTGTGGGCGTTTAAGGGGGCGTGGCACCTTTTTGAAACACACTTGCGCTGCGTAGGAACTCCTAGAATCTGCATGCAAAATGCCAATCTTCCAGCTTTTATAGTTTCCGAGATCTCAGCGTTCATACGGACAGACAGACGGACAGACGGACATGGCTATATCGACTCGGCTAGTGACCCTGATCAAGAATATATATACTTTATAGGGTCGGAAACGCTTCCTTCTAGCTGTTACATACTTTTGCACGAATACAATATACCCTTTTACTCTACGAGTAACGGGTATAAATACTGGTGCCCATCGCTATTTCGTCAGATAATGAAGCAACATCTTTTGATTTTCTGAGCAATTTTCAAAATTAATATAATATCACATATGTATTTATATATATATATATAATATAGATAATTATTCGAAACTCTTGTTTCTTTGTATATATACTATAAGTTTAACAGTAATTGCTTTGTCATTAACATTTTTCAACTTTGCATCAAATATCAAATACGTATGCATTTTTTTTTAATTTTTAATTTATAAGTGTCAGAACATTTGAAGAATTCAAAGCTTACAAATACAGACACATTTGATATCCTCTCCATTTGTGCTTTATATGTTTTTAAAGAGAGTATTCTCATAGCCAATATTATTAACATTATAAATATAATATTCGTTTTATTCGGGATAGGCCGAAGGATATACAAATCAAAACAAATAAGAAGAAAAATATTGTATTCTATTTATATATTTTTTTTCAGAACGACCCATGCCCGGCGATCGAGATCGTGACCGACTGGGATATCCCATGGATGAACTGAAGGGTGAGTAGACCTATGGTGTTCCTTGCCCTGGTCCCTTCAACTAATTCATGGATTCGCGACGACCCGAAGCTAACCCCATAACCCTAAAGACATGCAATTGTGCCTATAACCATATAAACAGACGATGACACGGGTCACTTGAGAGTTGCAACAACAAAACAACAACTAAAATTTAGAATTAACATGGCGCACAACTAAAACTCATTAGCTTTCGGGGTCCATGCCGACCGACTGGTCAAGTGACAGATGGCAGTCGCCCGATTGACCCACATTTTCCGGCTTTTATTTGCGTAACAAAACTAAACCCATTAGCCTGGCATAATGCTCATCGGATCTGGGGTCTGGGGGTGAGTGGGCGGTTGCAGTAAACATCGGCATTATTCACAATCGCATAATATACACAACGGAGCAAAAAGCTCCACGAACTAACCCACCCACAAAACGGTATAATAAATAATGCTGTGGCCAAAGTTTTGATAAATGGCAAGCGAACTTAAATGGGAATGCAAAAATTGGGGTCACCCACATGGAGTATTTAGCTGCTTTGGTTCTTGTATATAATTTTGCTAGGAAATTATTCCTAAAAATTAAATTTTTTAGTGAAGATCATTGGAAAGTAAAAATAAATCATCTTTAAAGGAATGTTTTACCATTAAGAGTAGTGTTTGAGAACTCTAAGACTATTAATTTTTTTCAAAACGATTTTCAAAACTTTTTGAGGTGCGACTTAGATTCTTATTGCTTGACGGACGAAGTTCAAGCTAGGAAAGTTCAAAGCTATATTGAAATAAAAATATGTTATATTTTATATACCATTCAAATTGGCCTCAAGACTTAAATCTCTTCAGACTGATTACCTCATTTCTGCAAAGATAATCCCTTCAAAACTAATTCCACCAGATTCTGTTCCGGTCTCTTCAGTTAATATGATCTCATTGCTTTACAGAAGAAATTGACTTGTCAAGTGCAGAAGATTTATGACAATTCTGAAACTACCAAGGCAGATCATCAGAGAACAATTTGTGTTTTGATTTTGACGCCACTTCCTTTCGGGTTTCCCAAGTGTGACGGAGTGGAGTACATGAACCCAGCGGGTGGCGGTGACATAAGCCTACCATATGCTATATTCGTATGCCAAGTGCCAAGAGAAGCCAAGTTCAAATGCCAAACTTGATGACGCTGGCGCAATTAATTGTGTTTCTGAGGTGGCGTGTTCGCTAGTTAGTTAGCTTGCTTTTATTTGGCGTGGGACAGATCGTAATTTACACTTGGAGATTGGGCTACAGTTCGCTGGGAGGCGGAAGCGATCTTCGCTATATGTATCTCCAGTTTTTGGCGGTTCTATGGCGTTGTGCAAGATCGGAATAGAACAGAACGGAGTAGAACTGCACTCAGCATGCACACTCCTCTGGCAGCCATTGTATGCAAATGGGAACCCCAAGTCGGCGCACAAAAACCACCCACATTTGCGGTTCGAGTTTGTAGCACCACCACGGTGGTGCACCGCCTGACAGCAGTGACATTGATTCAGAAACGGAAATGCACTCAAGTCGGCTGCTTTGGGTGGTTGAGGGGGCGATATGATCGATGGACTCATATCTGTGGTCAGGCTTGATTGGGAAACACAGTAAAACCCTGAGAAATTGAGCATAAGTCAGAAATATCTTGGCAAGCACAAAAGACTTAGGCAAAGAACTTGGAAGTGCATGGTGAGATATTCCTTTTGAAAGTAATACTTTTTGGGGGCTAGAAAGGATTTCTTTACATTTCTATGCTGTTATGTTCCTTAGTTTGTTATTTGGGACTGCATTATAAAAACTATAAGATATAATTTTTATTCCATAGATAGTAAACCATTTTCTAAAGATATTCAGTAAGGTTTTCCAGTTTTGACAGAACAAATGATAATTTATTTTTCTTTAGCTACACTTCCTTTCCAATTTTGTAGTATAAAATGTAATAATATAAACAAATATTTATGAATATCAGAATATTAGTTACAATATGTATGAGATACTTCTTTAAATCAATTTTAAAAGTAGTTAAAGTGTTAGTTACTGTGTTATTTTATTATAGCAAACTATATTTACAAATGCCAGCAAAGAGTATGTTTAAAAAAAAAAACTTACTCCGTGTTTAATAGCCTCGACGCCAAAAGTCTAAAAAATAGTCCATCCTTGAGCCGAAAACAAAATTATAGTTGGCCATAAATCCACTTAGCTCACCTATGATATATTCAGAACGGCTATGATCAGCCGGCTAACTGTTTGGGCTTAGGTTTTCCTAGTACCTCATTAAGTTCGCTCTTATTGAAACGAAATAATAAGCACCATATCAAGATGCGGCATCCTTGAGCGAGGTCTGTTAACGGTTGGCTGCCCCCATCAGCATCGCATCTCGCAGCGATCTGTACCCTCGTATTTTCATCTGAATCATCGGCGAAGATAGGCATCTTCCACCGAAAAAAAGCTCATTATACCGGAGATCCAAGGCTTCTGGGCAAACGAAGTGCTCTCCGCGTCGGTCGGAAAAAAGAATCCACTGAAAGCGGGGGTTTTCTGATTTTCAGAGCGCCAGAGCGAAAAGCTTAGATGGTTCAGAAGCGTAGAAGCGAAAAGCTCGAAAATCGCGCGCGATTTTCTAACGCCGTATAAAACCGCAAGCTTGACCACAGCCGCTGTTCATTCGCGATTAGAATCGCCAGCGCCGCGCGTCGGAAAATCTGTCCGGAAATCGTGTTCGCGTCTCCGTGTCCTGTGTGCGAGCGGGATGGCCAGCTAAGGCCCATTGTTTCGAGCGCTTGACATTGCACAGAAATTAATTAGCCCAGAACGCTAATTTAGCCATTACGTAATCACATAATCACACCAAAATCACCGCTTTGGTATACCAAACTCCCCAAAAATGGGCAGCATTTGTGGGCTTTTGTCGCTGCTTCTGCTCTTGAATCGCGTCTACGACGGCGGATCGAAGTTCGTTAGTCCTACGCGACACACCGATCTCAGCAGCACCATTATCATAGTCGAGGATGCCAAAGGTAAGGGGCCAAGCGCTTGTAGGTCATTCCACTTGGGCCAGCTCTCGACCGAATTTCGGAGTGCGTATTAAAGTAATTTGCATAATTTCCATCGTTCTGCGTGAAAAACACGTTGTCTTTGCTGGCAATTTTCCCGGAGATAATCTTCGCTGAAGTACACGGCACCCAACATGACTCGAACATAATTTACTCAAAACGGCAACGGATGTGCCGCAAAAACACAACAGCGAAAACAATTCGACCCGTAGTAGAAACAGAAACCAGCTTGGACATAAATGCACTCGCCAAAAAAGATTTTCCTTGTTCTAGTCAAACAATTTTACAATTAAAATCCTCAATGGAAAGTAAGAAAGCGAAATTGCTGTTGCCTCTCAAGTAATATTCACAGACATAGTCTCAGATAAGCTACGGTTTTTAACAAATCTTGTATATTTCTTAGGTTGATTTCCCTCACTTTTATTTCAATTACCCTATTTAATGGTAGCTTAATTTTTTGATACAATGTTTATTTAATTAGAAAAGAAAGAGTAAAAACAAAAAGAAGAATGCAAATGCTGTCCGCGATTATTTTTGGTAATTGATATTAATTTAATTTAAAACGAAGGATGATAACTTTTATATCACTTGACTCACAATTCGTTTTTCTGCTCATTCACAAAATACTATGTTATTGAGATATTAGGTAGCTGCCATCTTCTCGCCCTTTTTTTTTGAAAGTGCAGACACCCATGAAGCAACCCAGCCCCGATCTTGGGTTCTCGCTTCACTGACTCCAAACGTTGAATGGTTGATCTTTTTTCCTCTTTTTTGAGTTGCCCACAATTGCGTAAGGCGTAGGGCATCTGCAACTGGCACTGCAACACCCACTTGGTCTCCTTTTCCAGCCTGCTTCCGACGAGTCCTGGCCGGAAAGCGGATTGCCCCCCACTTCGTGCGCCGCTCCATATCCTGCGAGCGGGTGGAGGAGTGCATGCGGGAGTGCGGACGGGAGCGGCGCTTCATGTGCGAGGGCTTCAACTACCGGCTGGATCCTTCGGGCCATGGACAGGGCGATTGCGAGCTGGTCGAGATGCCGCTGGCCCAGATGGACCTGTACTCCAGTCCAGATCGGCGGGATACCAATCTGCTGAGGCACCCGGACTACGACTACTACGAGAGGGACCGCAATGCGCCGAGCAGCTGTCGTCGCAGTGCTTGTCAGGATTGCTCCAAGGGTCCTGTGAGCAGCCAGCCCGTTTACTTCAAGCCCAGTGGCGGCGGTGGCGGTGGGTATGGAGATCGCGATGGAGATCGGGATCGGGATCGGGACAGGGATCACTACCGCCCGCCGAGCAGCACCGCCGTGGATCACTATCGCGGTCCCTCGGGTCCTCCAAGCAGCTCCTACGAACACCGACCTCCCTTCTCCTCGGATTTCCATGGCTCGCACAGCTCATCCTCCTCCTCTCAATCCTCCTATGAGTTCTCCTCGCACGGCTCAGGTTCGAGTTCGGGTTCCAGTTCAGGATACTTTGGCCACACCCCGCCCAGCAGTTATGGCGGAGATCATGCCTACGTGGACCGCCACGATCCGCCACATTATCGGCCCGGAAGACCGGATCGCTGGGAAACCCTGCCAAGTAGTTCCGGCTACGATAGCTCCGCGTACAGACCGCCACGGCCGGAAACGGATCGGATCGACAAGTACCGCCCACCTTATCGTCCCGGTTCGGATTACTCGCCCTACAGACCACCAAGTCGTCCGTCGCACAACTACCTCGATCGCGATGGAGCAGGTCCTCCGGGACCCCCAGGCTCCTACAAGAAGCCCAACAAATTCGTACCCTATCTGATTGGTGGCGAGGACAACTGGGGGCACTACGGAGGTAGTTACGGCGGAAGCAGCAAGCACTCCTCCTCATCCTCCTCATCCTACTGGGGTCTGTCTGAGTCGCAGCGACGCAAGGATCAGCAGGACTTCAACTACTTCCAGCTGGGGACACCTCACCGCGAGTCCAACTCGGTGCTCAGTTATCCGGGCTCTGGCTACGAGGAGGATTACCCCAGGAGGCGCAACGATTACCGGCAGCAGTGGACACGGCGCCCGGGACAAGATGGTGAGTATCCAAAAAAAAGATAATATAAACATATAATTTACACCTATCACAATCGAATCTTTGAAAACGATAATCTAATATACTTAATAATATCTAATTAAAATCTAATTTGAGGTGTAATAATTCCGACTTTAAAATAGTAAATAGTAAAACGTTTAATATAAATCAAAATACAAGGAGATGGTTCAAAAGACAATATTTCAGTTTTCACGTTTCAAAATGAGGAATAATTTTTTTATATTTTGCTTTTTTTTCTCTTTAAGATATTTTATATTTTAACATTTTATGGCTTAAAACTATACATAAAAGAAGAAATTAATTTTGGTGTTTGTACATTCATCATCAAGACTCAAACGTGTCCTTAATTATAGTGGCCTGAGCAGCTCTGTCAATCTGTGGTATTTCAAGTAAAGGAGATTTAAATATTTATCAGTAACCGTGTGTTGAACAAAGCAAAAAGCTTAAAAACCAATTAAAAATTAAACAATTGCTTGTTGGAAATTCAATACAAACTTTATAACATTGACAAAAGTCCACATGCCTACTCTAAGTAACGGTTAAGCTATTTTTGCATTTTATTCAATTAACCATTTTGCATTTTATTGAATTAACAATTTTTAACGAGCTATTTACTAATCATTATAACATAGAATGCTCGGCCAAGACCAGCGAAGGATTCCGGCTGCACAAGACGGCCGTGAAGCACGCCTACAACGTGCCCACCTTGACGGAGTGCGAGCGCCTGTGCTCTGACCAGCGGCCCAGCTTCATCTGCCACACGTACAGCTACCGGTACAACCAGGCGGGCAGGGACAACTGCATGCTGTGCGACCGGCCCATCAACATGCTCGACTACTACGTGGACATCGAGCCGGATCGGGACTACGACATCTACTCCATGGCGGACGACATGGACGTATGCCGGCAGCCACCGCCGCGACGTCACGATACCGACCGTCCTAGCACCGCCCTCTCGGATCCGAGAAATGCACGTAAGTCTGGTATTATGTTAAAACACAATTAGAAGAAATAATTATATAGTTGTTATTTACTTTCCAACATAACAGAGAAATTAATCTTTTAAAAAAAGGTTTCTTTACTTAACATTTTTATACCCTCGCAGAGGGTATATGTCTTGATCAGCAGTACTAGGCGAGTCGGTTTAGCCATGTCCGTCTGTCCGTCCGTCTGTCCGTCCGTCTGTCCGTCTTCTTAAAACGATCAGTCTTAAAACGATTTGGATAAAACTTTGCAAAATGTTGTTTATATATTAGTCAGAATGGGTTGGATCGACCTATTGTATCAAATAGCTCTTATAGGAACAACCGGGAAAGAAAGTTAAATAAAATGTTAACTTCTTTGTTTATCCATATGCACCGAGATTTTTCAGTTATAATTTATTGTTAAATCGATCTAGCTTTATTGCTATTAACCATCGATATCGAAATATAGAATATTTAATTTTTTTTAACAGCTGCAGGGGTATATAATCTTTGGCATGCGGAAGTTTGCTTCCGTTCTTGTTTTTTTATTTACTTGAAACTATAATTAATAAATATGGTGAGGAATATTGTAGGAATATTTTTATGAAAAGGTTAAGATCATTTTTATTAGCTGCTTTATTGTTTATTTTAGTTTATATAGTTCTGATACAATTATTTAATTTTATTTAAAAATTTTGGTTAAGATTTTACTGAATGTCTCTTACTATGATTGTGATGACTTACACCAAACTAATTTATATTAGCTAAAACAAAATTCCCAACCTCACCTTTTCCAGAGTGCTTCTTCCGAGCAATTGATGCCACGCGTTTTTTTAAGTCGATTGTGCGCGACTCCCTGACCGTGCGATCAGTGGGCGAATGCGAGATGGAGTGCATCCGCTCCACGAAGTTCACCTGCCGGGCCTTTGCCTTCCGATATGGCCAGCAGCGGCATGCCGGAGTCATCGACAACTGCCAGCTGAGTGACTGGCCGGTGAGGGACATGGACAAGGAGCGCCATCTCATCCTGGACGCGGCCTTCGATATCTTCGAGCGAGCGAGCTATGGCCACGGGTGCGAGATCCAGCCGATCGTGGATGAGAAGCACAAGAAACGTAGGTTTTTAGGTCTCTCTACCTCGTTTAGGAGTAATCCTAATCCCTACTCCCCTTTAGTCTGCTATTTGGGTTACGGATCGCCGGCGAGACTGCTTCCTCCCGCCATCAAGAAGGTGATTTCCGTGCCCTCGGAGATGGCCTGCAAGAAGGAGTGCATCCGTTTCCGGGAGACGACTCCTTTCAAGTGCTTCGCTTTCAGTTATGGGTGAGTTATGGCAACTCCCTAGCCCAATAAACAAGATATAACAAAACTCCCTTTCTTTATTCAAGCTCCCATGCCAGCTCCTTTAACTGTGAATTATCTGACCTGGATCAGACCGAGCTAAAGCAGGATGTGCACTATGCCCACACCAAGGACCGCGACTTCTGGCTCTTCGCCTGGAATCCCTTCGACTGGACCTGCCGGGACAAGGTCAACACCATCGGCGGATCGCGGGTCAACAACGACCGGCGCATGGACATCTTCCGGGAACCGGGTAAACTCAACCTACTAACCTGTTGCACCTCGATCCAAGTGTAAATAACCGGTTCCTGTTGCTCTAACCGGGCAGCGGATCAGCAATAGTTGTGTATTACTAGCATTAGAGTTTGTGTAAATTAGTTTGTAGCGGAGAATGTTGTGTAAATAACGTTTACTAGCATGTACAGTGGCCCCCTCCCACCATAACCGAAAGACGAATCCCCCAAAAAGCTACTAACCGACCGTTTGCATGCCACCGTTTCGTTTTCCAATTCGATTTCGATACTGAATCGGATACCGAAATCCACCCCCAAAACCGTGCTCTTGACCCCACTAAACCCGCTTCTTGTCCGGTAAAGGCGACGTGGCCTGGCGCCACTACACCGTGTCCGGCAAACCCTGCCGCCGGAGCAGTCCCTGCGCGAAGAACCTGATCACCGGCTTCTACTCCTGCGAGACGGATGCCTCCGAGGTCGGCTCCTGGGACTACTGCTGCAAGGCGGACCACCCCTGCGGCTACAGCAAGGGCTTCGATTATCCCTGGTAAGTGGAAAGAAACACAAATCACAAATCACATATTGCATCTATACATTTTTTTTCTAATTAAAAACATTCAACCTTTTAATTCCATTCTATTAATCATTTAACATTAAAATTGGAATTAGATTTTTAAAATTAGAGTTATTCAATCAACTCAAGAGCTTTGACCCAAGTCTATTTATTTTAGACTTAAAGTATTTTTTTGGTTTTTTTCTTTAACAATCTCAAATTTTTGGAAATATTTAAAATCTTACAATTTTTAAAAGCTCTTATAACCAGAAAAATTACAGAAATGATAGAGCCCTAATAAGTATATATAAATATTAAACAAAAACACATTATTTAAACTGTTTTAATTCTGAAATGTGGGGCAATTTCTAACAATCCCCTATGTAGATTATATTTTTTTATGTAAACCAAAAGTAACCATCAAGATATATATTATACCAATAAAGCCACTTAAAACACCATACCATTTTTCATCTCTCTCAATTTCCCAGGTGTTTTGTGGGAGACGAGTCGGACCAGTGGCGCAAGTGCAGCGATCGGTACTTCCCCGGCAAAAACGGCACCCAGGCGACGCACTCCCATCTGGGACTGCCCAGTGGCAAGGAGAAACAGAAGCATCCACATCCGCACCACTTGCAACCGGCCACGGCGGCCAGCAGTGAGTACAGCCAGCATCCTCCGCGACCCGGCGGACTGCAGAGCCTCAGCGACTTCGCCGCCGCCCGTCTGTGGCCCGTGACCTACCTGTACAGTGAGGGCCCGCCCAACGCCACCGAGTTCAGCAACTTTGTCGACTGCAACAAGGAGTCGTGCTAGTGGAGCGCTAATCTATGCTAGCTTTAGTTGGTTAAGAGATACTTGTACAATAGATTCCCCCCGAAACCCGAAACCCGCAACCTAAAACCCCGACTTCCAGACAGATCTACTCGGACCACGTGGACGTTGTCGTTGTGATCATCATTGAGATTGGATACCATTGTCGTCAGAACCAAGTGAAACCAATTAACTTATTAACTTAACTCCCCTGAATGTTGAATGCAACCTTAATGACAGCTTGCGTGCAGGCATTCTTTCTATGTATAAGCTGAATTGTATGTATTATTAATAAAATTAGTTTTTACGCAGAAAAAATCCCGGCTGACTCATGTTTTCCTTATATCAAATATAATTAGACAAACAAAACGCTTCAACTTGCAAGCCATAAATCAACTTGGTAACTGATAAGTTGTAAAGAAAGCAACAAATAACGGAATTTTAATGAATTCTAATCGGTATAAGCGATTTGATTCCATGTTATTTGGAGGTCATAGTTATTTATAACTTTAAAACTAACTGAAAGGTTTTTTGTTTAATTATTATGTGGTGACTTTGCCAAGAAAATAGGTTTAGGTGCGCTTAAGGGATTGGAAGGTTCCAGTATCCGTTTGAATTATCGTAACTGCTCTTAAGAGTTTCCTTTAATCTCCGGTTTTTTTAAGTTTAATTGTATCGATTTCCTGGTATCGTAATTTATCCTTAATTGTAGAGGCCAAGACGAAATGCTAGAAAAGGCTAGAAAATTGAATTTGTTCACAGTTTTAAAGCACTCTGATTCTTGAAAAAACGTTTAGCATCGGAGATTATTAATGGCACTACTTTCCCGATAATCCAATCCTGCAAGAAAGAAGCTCAGACATATAAAAGTGTAATTATAGGGAACATCTTTAAGAGGCTCACTTAAAACTGTGTTGAGTGCTAGCCCTAAAACTAGAGTCAGCGAATTGCCAAGTGGTCTCAAAAACTCTAATAAAATTCTTTTACCATTTTTATCTGGAAAATACATTTAACTAGTGGTGATACTAGTGTTACTCGTCATCTGTTTTAAAAGTTGGTTTATCCGAAAGCGGTTATCCATTACATCAACCTTGGTTGGTGTTGTAGCAGTAAGCTTTGTTTGTAAAATAACTGCCTCAGCAAATATACTCAATAAACGAAAAATATGTAAGTAAACAAGTTCGATATTTGTTGAATCAAATCTCCTCCAAGCGTAAAATTTTAAAGCATTTTACAATTAATTTTGTTTCGGCATGTATAGTTTTAGGTTTGTTTAATTTTATAAATTGATAATTTTTTCATGTACGTTAAATTACAATTCAAATTCAATAAATAAAAAATAACTAATACTCTAAAATTTTGCGAATCAATAAAGATACCAAAAACTCTGAAACATGCTATATAATAAAACCCGAAAATCATCAATGTTTTTTTTAATGAAATATATGATTTTAATAAAGGGTATTTCATTTTCGTTCTTGAATTTATTTTATATATTTAATCATCATTTCTGTTTTGATTACTAAGCTTTCGAGGTAAACATTTCGAGAGAGTGTAAGTATAAAGCTTTATGCTTGTAGACAATTTCTTTGCACTTAAGTATATAACATTACTGCAATCTCCGACAGCAATTTCTCGTAGATAAGAAATTGGTTTGAATACTTCAATCGTAATAAATAATATAAAATTTCTAGGGTGCGGACAGTCTCTCCATATGTAGATGAACTCCCTCCTGGGTTGCAATCAGGAATGTGCGACTGCTAAACTTCAGCGGGATCTGTGTTTGCTCCGATCGGCTGAACTTAAAGTCTCGCAGGAGGTAGACCAGACCCACCTTCACCTGCAATTTGCCAAATCGCTCGCCTATGCAATTGCGAGGACCTTCGCCAAAGGGCAAATAGGCGAACGGATGGCGGGCCTTGACCTCTTCCGGCTCAAAACGACTGGGATCGAACTTCTCTGGCTCTGGATATATCTCTGGATCGTGGTGAATACTATGCACAGGTATTATTATCTTAGTTCCCGGCTCTATAGTTAAGTTGCTATCCGGCACCAGGTATTCCTTGGTGGATCGTCTCGAAATATGAGGCAGTATAGGGTACTTTCGCAAGGTCTCGTCTACCACTTGATCCAGATACCGCATCTCATGAACAGATTCGTAGGTGAGCTTCTGGTCGTTGCTCCCCAAAACGTCTAGAACCTCAGCTCGTAGTGTATCCTGAATATCGGGGTTCAGGGCCAGTTCATACAGGCAAAAGGCCATGGTGGTGGAGGAGGTATCAAATCCTGCCAGGAAGAAGACTAGTGCCTGGGCCGCAATCTGCTCGAGGGACAACGCATCCTTGTCCCCATCTTGGCCCAACTCCATGAGCAATTGGATCAGGTCGTTGCGGTGGATATTCTCCCGTCGTCTGTAGTCCAATGTCTGGCGCACGGTGTCCAGGAAAAATTCACTGACCTTCGGTCGAAACAGGCGCAGGCGCAGTGACCTGGCCAGATCCGGTTGGGCGAACATGAAGACCTGGACGGGCACGGAATGAAGGGGCTGCGAAACGACAGAGCGTCCCATGCGTCGGAATTCCGACTCCGGATCCTGGAGGCTATTGCACTCCAGACCAAAGGCACAGCTACCGATCACGTCCGTGGTGAAACGGGCGCACAGATCCTTGGCCTCGATCTTGCCGACCTGCTGAAGACATGCCTGCGTCAGCTTCTCGCCCACGTCCACCATGTTGGAGAACATGTACTTCATCTTTCCGGAGCTGAAGACCTGCGTCAGGTTTTGGCGCAGCCAACGCCACTCGGGTCCGTCCAGGAACAGCAGATTCCCGGTCAGCGGATCGTCCCGGACATTATGAAACAGTCCCCGATCGGCGAAACTGCCAAAGTCACTGATCATTATCTTCCTGACCAGCTCCAGATCTATGACAAAGAGCGCTTTGCTCAAGAAGGTAAAATATCCGCAGAAGCGTTCTTTGCCCCGGAATTTCCCATAAATCCGCCTGTTGATATCCGTCCAGTGGAGCTCCTTACCCAATCCCTTCATATTTCCGCGGAGCAGGTGGGGTTTTTCGCCGGCCACGCCCCTGCGCCTCCAGTAGGCGAAGTGCCAGCGGAGCTTCACATAGAGCAGAAGAACAGCGGTGAACACGAGAACCAGGACCGTGAACATGGTGCCCACACTTCGATCAAAAAGCAACTGAGTGGAAAAGTGGCGCACACATGACTTAAAAGCGGGAAAGCTTTCCCAAAGTTATTTTCATTTGTCATTATCCAAATACATACATAAGTACACAAATGAGTCATTTTATATAGCTCTTCAAAAATTGAGAACAACAAGTAAAATAACATTCCTAATCAGGAATATTTAGTGCATATCTACTATTTTATAGCTTTTAAGTACAGTGATTATAAGTACATTATTACTAGCTAATTCAAGGCTTCATGAAAAGAGTTTAGAGTCCAAAACATTCGGGATGGATTGGAGAACCAATTTTAGGCTACTCAGATCATTTATATTATTTATTATAAAAATTTCATCCTAATGCTACAAGTAAACTTATAAATAAGGGCGCTATTCACATAGAGTTAAGCAAATTTAGACACTTGTTCCTAGCATATTTGAACGGGAATCTTTTGATTGGAGAAATATGTTCATGAATATTGTCAAATGGCACGTAAGGAGGGTAATAAACATAAAATGTAAACAATGTGGTCCGAGTACACTTAAGAAACAACGGCCTACATTTTAAAATTTGAGTATTAAGAAACGAGATAAAGAGAAGTTTTAGAGAAGTTAATCATATCACAAAGCCTAGCACAATGTACAATATGGATTATGCGGATTTATTTGTTTTCCCGCAACTTTGTGTTTTGAAAATGCATTGCCTAGATGCGTTCAACTTTCAAATGAACGCCATGCTTGGTGGACAAAAAGGGGCTGCGAGTGTCCAAAGTCAAGGGGACTTGTGTGGATTTCGAAACGCCGAACTTGAAGCGTTGGAGCAGGGACACAATGCCTATCTTGGCCTGCATTTTGCCAAATCGCAAGCCGATGCAATTACGGGGTCCATCGCCGAATGGAAGATACGAAAATGGATGGCGGGCCTTCACCTCCTCTGGATCAAAGCGACTGGGATCGAAGCGTTCTGGTTCGGGATACAAGTCCGCATCATGGTGAATGTTGTGGATAGGTATAATCACTGTGGTTCCCTTCTCGATTATCAACTCTGTATTGGGAACTTTGTAGCTCTGATTAGTTTGGCGCAGAAGTTGGGCAACAATGGGATGTTTCCGCAGAGTTTCTGCAGATAAACGTGGGTTAGGGGTTTTGTCTCATAATTTTTATATGCTTCTTACCTGCCAGCACTTGGTCCAGATAGGTCATTTCGGCTAAAGCGTCATAGATGATCTCGCCTCCCCCCAGAACACTTCCTATCTCCTCTCTGACCCTCTGCTGAATATCAGGCTGGAGAGCTAGTTCGTACAAACAGAAGGCCATGGTACTGGAGGAGGTCTCGAAGCCAGCTAAGAAGAACACAAAAGCCTGGGCTGCCATTTGCTCCAGGGTCAGTCCTTGGGACAGATCGATACCCTGACCCTTTTTAGCCGCTTCTTGGTCCTCGGCTCGGAGCTCTATCAACAGATCCATAAAGTCGTTTCTCTTTATGCCATTCTTGAGGCGATAATCTACGGTGTTTTTTACGGCCGACATGAAGAATTTGGTCAGATCATCCCGTAATACCTTCATCCGCAACTTTTTGGCTAGCTTGGCATTGGTAAATATAAAGGATTGCACCAGCATAGTGTGGCGGGGTTTCTCGAAGATTATGCGACCCTTTTTTCGGAATTCGGCCTTGGGATCCTGGAGACTATGGCACTCCAGTCCGAAGGCACAGGAACCAATTACATCCGTGGTGAACCGGGCACACAGGTCCTTGATCTCCACATCGCCGTCCTCCACTTTGGCAGCCTCCACTGCCTTATCCATGGCGTCGGCCAGGCGCTGACCCACCTCCACAACCACTCCCGACATGTGCTTGATCTTGCCGGAGGTGAAAACAGGAGTCAGCTTCTGCCTCATCGACCTCCACTCGTCGCCCTCCAGAGTCAGAAGGTGTCCTGTCAAGGGATCATCTCGCGTATTGTTGAATAGGCCACGATCTTGAAAGTGATTGAAGTCTTTTATAAGCACTTGCTTGATCAGGTCCAGATCAGTGATCATGGCCGTTCGCTTGAAGAACATGAACATCCCCGCAAAGGGAGCCTTGCCCTTGAACTTGTCGTAGATCCTCTGGTTGATGTCCCGGAAGTGGTACTTTGAGCCAATTCCCATCATATTGCCAATCAGCGGAAAAGGTCGCTCATGAGGAACTCCCTTCCGGGCCCAATAGGTGTAGGAGTTGTGGTAGAAACTATAAACTAGAAACAGGGCCACGGCGAGTAATGCTATTGTTAACAGCATGGCGATCACTTTACTTGTCCAGCTTTAAATTAAATATAATATTGACTTTTGCACTACAATAAATTCCATAAACTAATATGCGTCTTAAATTTGATCAATTAAGTAACGTACGTCTAACGGACTTAATTTGTACAAAACACAATGAGAACTGAAATGTGTTCGTCGAAGCATGAGGTATAAATATATAAATTCTAACAAGAGAGAACGCTATAGTCGAGTGCCTCGACTATTAGATACCCGTTACTCAGCTAAACAACTTTAGATTTTGCATTAACATAATGTGAATTAGAGTAACCACAGGAAAAAAGGACAAAAAGTTCAAATTATCAATTTGAATTAGGCTGGCAGCTTTACAGCACGAGCATCAGCACCAGCGCTGCTTTAGCGCAGGCAGCTTTTGTCCTGCACCAGCATACACACATACGCCATTGTTTGACTCAGACCTCCAATTTGGCTAAGTTGATTTGATTTGCTTAGTTCTTGGGATATAGTTCGGTATTGACAAATGAAAACCATCGCAATTTCCTTTAATAGAAATCCTTATCGAGAATTAACGTTGACTCTGTTGAGCACCTTGGCCAGCTGTTCCAAAGTCATCCGTTAGATGGCGCTATTGTATTGCGCCATCTACCCGGGCCATGAAAGGCGGAAATGTAGGCGCTAGCCAGGCTTAAGCGTTTAATGAGTTTTTGGGCGTTAGAGTGGGCGTGGCAAACTTTTATTAGGCCAATCGATAGGTATTGACGAAACAAATACATATCAATTAAAATTTTCATAATAGCATCAAAACTGTGGCCACAACTTGTGACTTGTGGGCGTCAAAGGGGGCGTGGCACCATTTTGAAACAAACTTGCGCTGCCTAAAATCTACATGCAAAATGCCAATCTTCTAGCTTTTATAGTTTCCGAGATCTCAGCGTTCATACGGACAGACGGACAGACGGACATGGCTAGATCGACTCGGCTAGTGATCCTGAACAAGAATATATATACTTTATAGGGTCGGAAACGCTTCCTTCTACCTGTTACATACTTTTGCACGAATACAATATACCCTTTTACTCTACGAGTAACGGGTATAAAAAGCTTCTATACAATATCTCTCTTTTGACTAAGCTTTGGGTCATATGTTTACTCAAAACAAAACTGATAGATATGTAGCTTTTTTGAGTGTCTCTCTGGTGTTGTTTTTTTCAACAAAACGGTCAAAACAAAACTGATTGATAAAGCAGTAAACAAATGTATTATTTGCCGGCAAAAATGCTTCATAATGCTGAGAAGAGCGAGAGAGTACCGGTTTATGGCTTCATGGCAAACTCGTAATTGCAAAAAGAACTGATAGTCTTTTCAATGAATACAGTTGCGTTCCTGAACATATGTAGTTGTTCCTCGCCTTTAGCTTAAAACGAACGTTGGCTTTTTTATTTCCCAACGCAAAATAAAATAAATATTATTTGCTAGATAAGACTAAATTGAGTAGAAATACAAAACAAAAACATATATAGCTTGCCGGTTTTAATAAGAGCTTGGTAATTTTCAAATATGGGAGAAGATTGTTGTTGTTAAGTAATGGACAAATTTTTCAAAAGCAAAGTTTAATTAAAATAAGTTTTTTTAAGTAACTGTTCTAACTGTTCTATTACAAATTTTGTAAAATTATTTTGGGATTAATTTTTTAATTTAATATAGCCTGTATTGATTAAGATTTTAGAAAATATGGTTCATTTGAAAAAGTTGATGAACATTTTTTCAAATGGCAAATCATGATTATAAAATTAAAATTGTTAACAAATTTTTTACTAGTTCATTCGAGTGTCTTGCTCTGTCTACGATTTTCTTTATCAAAATGCCTTCTACACTTTAATGTGATAACCAAAATAGAAGTGATAAGAAAAGCGGCAAACAAATGTTCTAAATAATGCTGTAGACATATTACTGACATATCAGTTCTATGTACTTCTATGGAAGTACTTTCTATCACAAAAGACAATAATAATGCAATAAGGCGTATCATGTAACTGGGTTAGGAATGCTATTCGCAATGTTGAAATATTTGTTATCTCCTCGTTAGCCATTTTGTTACACCTCTAGCCCACATATTTTTTTGCAAGGTATGAGTACTGAATGCTTACTTTTAGTTCCTTCTAAGGACAATTTTCCAATCGACTCCTTTAGTGTTTGTCCTTTTAATTGAAATGTGAGCCTCTATGCAAACAGGAACCAGGAGGAGTTTATTGACAGACCGTTGATGATTTGTTAGACGACTTTTGCGATGCCTTTAGTCCGTTGCATCTCACCTTTAATTAAAGTCGGCAATTGCAGAAATCAAATGAAAAAAAAAATCGATTAAATTGACATGTTATTATTGCTTTTATATTTTTCGTAATAATCGAAGAACCACCAACAGTTATTGAAGAAATTATAAAATTTAGTTAAAGATTTGAACTGTTTAAAGGAAGCGAGTAATCACCATTTAACATTAAAAAATGCATTGTCCGTATGCAACATTTATGCAAGTACAGAGTGAACTGCAAAAAAAATTAAAAATGCTTATTAAAAGTTACCTTAAAGTATGATTCACCTTTATTGTACTCACTTAAGTACAATTAATTTGTTATTCACGTAATTTCTTTCATCTAAATAAAGTTGTGCATATCAAAATATCTTTAATGGGAGACTGTTCATTCGTTTAGAGAGATCTCAAGCTTCCTAAAGTTCTAAAAAGCTCTACAGAAATCTATAATCATCGTGCTAGGAACAAATTTTGCAGTTGTTACTGAACGCCGAACAAGTGAAGTCGGGTAACAGATAACATTTACCAAGTATGCATAATTATTTCGTCAGCCATTAAACGGATTACTCATTAGAATAAATATTTATTTGTGATTGCTCAACAAACATGTAACCAGTTTTCTTTTGAGTTTCGGAATTTTGATCTGTATATAAACCTACCAATGCTGTGCATCACTTTGGTTCGCTACAAGTTTTAACAAAGTGCTAGTGTTTGCCAAGAGATAATGGCTTGTTAAAAGCTCGACTAACGTATAAAAAGGCGAACTTAGCGGCTAAACAATCAGTATGTTCTGAGAGTTAAACGGAAACAGTGTTAGGTGATCGCTCGCAATGCTTTTTACAATCGCCCTGTTGGGCGTAATCTTGGCCTTGGCCTATTACTTCTATATCAAAGTCTTCACCTATTGGGAACGCAAAGGAGTTCCCTTCGAGCGTCCACTGATGCTAGTTGGCAACATGAAGGGAATCGGGTCGAAGTTCCATTTCCGGGAAATCAACCAGAGGATCTACGATCAGTTCAAGGGAAAGTCTTCCTTCGCCGGAATGTACATGTTCTTTAAGCGAACCGCCATGATTACCGACCTCGACCTGATCAAGCAGGTGATGATCAAGGACTTCAGCTACTTTCAAGATCGTGGTGCTTTCAACAATCCCCGTGACGATCCCTTAACTGGTCATCTTTTCACCTTGGAGGGCGAGGAGTGGCGATCGATGCGACACAAACTGAGTCCCGTTTTTACCTCCGGAAAAATGAAGCAAATGACGGGAGTCATTATCGAAGTGGGTCATCGCCTGGCCGAAGCCATGGATACCTCAGTGCAGGCGGCAAAAGTGGATGATGGCTGTGTGGAGATTAAGGACCTGTGTGCCCGGTTCACCACGGACGTGATTGGTTCCTGTGCCTTTGGACTGGAGTGCTATAGTCTCAAGGATCCCAACGCCGAATTCCGCACCAAGGGCCGACAGATTTTTGAGAGACGTCGTCATTCTCAGTTTGTGCAATCATTTCTTTTTACCAACGCTAAGTTGGCTAAGAAGTTGCGCTTCAAAGTATTTCCCGATGATATAACCGATTTCTTTATGTCGGCTGTAAAAAATACTGTGGACTATCGCCTCAAGAACGGCATAAAGCGAAACGACTTCATCGATCAGCTAATAGAGCTCCGAGCAGAGGACCAAGAAGCGGCTAAAAAGGGTCGGGGTATCGATCTATCCCAAGGACTGACCCTGGAGCAGATGGCCGCGCAGGCCTTTGTGTTCTTCGTAGCTGGGTTTGAGACCTCCTCCAGCACCATGTCCTTCTGCCTGTATGAACTTGCCGTGCAGCCCGAGATTCAGCAGAGGGTGAGGGATGAGATTGAAAGTGTGCTCGGCAATGTGGAAGAAGGAGAGCTCAATTACGACGCCTTGGCCGAAATGAAGTATTTGGATCAGGTGGTGGCTGGTAAGAACTTAACTTAAATGAACTGGGGAACTGAAAAAATTACAAATTCATCTTCCCACAGAAACCCTTCGGAAGCATCCCCTTCTCCCCCATTTAATAAGAGAGTGCAATCGAGACTACAAAGTACCCAACACAGATATTGTTCTGGACAAAGGCATCACTGCCTTGATCCCCGTACACAACATTCACCACGATCCGGAGATATATCCAGATCCAGAGAAGTTCGATCCCAGTCGGTTCGACCCGGAGGAAGTCAAGTCTCGCCACCCGATGGCATATTTGCCCTTTGGCGATGGGCCTCGCAACTGCATTGGACTGCGTTTTGGAAAGGTTCAGGCCAAGGTTGGTCTGGTTTCGCTGCTTCGTCGCTTCAAATTTTCCGTATCGAAACGCACCGAAGTTCCTTTAATTTTGTCGAAGAAGGCTTTTCTGTTGTCCACCGAAAACGGCCTTTATCTGAAAGTAGAAAGCATTTAAGTTTAAGCCAAAATAAATATGCAAATTAAAAAGTGGAAGTTAAATAAAACAAAAGCAAAATAAATTGAACACCTTTAAAAAAAACAGTTACGGGTTAGAAGTTAAATAAAAGATCGGAAAGCGGAAGGCGGGACTTAACCTTATATGAATCAAGCGTTAGGCTTAAAAATAGTAAAATGAACAATATTCACCAAAAGTGTTCTCGCTTATGATTTAGCTTCTAATAAAAAATCATCCCTATGAACTATATTAATAGAAATATTTTAAATTCAATTAAAAAGTAAACAGTAACTTCAAATACTTCAGTGTTAAGTTTAAATATATATTAAAATTTGTTAATCTGTGTTGAAGAAAAAGGTAAAAATGAAAATAGATAAATTAAATGATTTAAAATTAAACGTATTATTAATGAATAAGCATTAAAATAATTAAGTCAAATTGATATTGGGACACAAATCAGAGCTACAAATATTGTTGTTTTTATTTGAATGCTTGGTAAAGCTGAAAAGAGTGAAAATATATCAGAATGCTCTTTGTACAATAAATTTTAATAATTTTAAATTTGTTTCCTTCATGTTGGTGGTGTGAGGCTATGTGATAAAAGGAAACTGGAGGAGTTTATTAAAAGACTGTTGATGATTTCTTAGACGATTTTTGTGATGCCTAAGGGCAAGTGCAAAAATTAAGCATAAACGCAATTAAACTAGCATAAAATCAAACTCCCGACGTCATCAAATTCCCAGGTCGCGCAAAATTTATGCGAAAGCGATTAAAGGTCCATTAAACGGTACTCCAGCTGGAAAGCGTCTTTGTGGCGGCATTAAAGTGTTTGAGCCGCCTTACGTCCACCCCAAAGGACCTCTATCTGCGGCTCTTCAGTTAATAATAAAACGGTGTCGCGCCTAAAAGCATTTTGTGACTGCGTGCGGGTGTGTGTGCTGTTTTGGTGCTTAAAGGATTTGGGCATAATGCTTACGGCCCGTTTTATGCCGCTAATGCGCCATCTTCCAATCGACATAAAAATCGTAATGCCGCAGTAAAAGGCAGCTAGACCTATAAAACTCGCAGCGTGACAAACAAAAATCGAAACCAAAGCTGGAATTAAATAATCAAGCAGTGCCTACAGAAATTGTGGTTATTATAAATTAATGGCTTTTATGCAGATTTTGATCAAATCGTGGTTCTTTAAAATAACAATTACGGAGAAAGTGTATAAATTAAACAAAACGTATGTTATGATGATATGTTATTTTACCCTTGCAGAGGCTATTACAATTTCAGTCAAAAGTTTGCAAAGCAATGAAGGACCCTATATTCCGTCTGTCCGTTTCTACGCAAACTAGTCCCTCAGTTCGCTAGCTACTTGAAACTTTCTCAAAAGTTGTCTTTCTATATATACTACATATAAGTCGGAACGAGCCGGATCGGGCGACTATATCATATTGCTCCATAACAATCGGTTTTTAATTTTTTTTTTTGGGACTTGGTAATACTTAATTATTATGGAATTACGGTTTTAATTAAATTAAAATAGGACAACAATATCATATAGCTGACATCGAAACGATGGCAAAATGCAGCGCAAAATCGACATAGCTTCATTGTTTTTAGTAATATAGTAAGACATTGAAAACAGCAATAATTGAATCACAATCACAACCCCTTTTATAAAATTGTATTGCATGTATGTATATGCAGAAATATTCGTTGTATCCAATGTCGCTAAGATTCACATAGTATTGATCCACGGTATTCAGAAATGCTTCAGAACTGTGAATTACAATTTTTATACCCTTGCAGAGGGTATTATAATTTTGGTCAAATGTGTGCAACGCAGTGAAGGAGACATCTCCGACCCTATAAAGTATATATATTCTTGATCAGGATCACCTCCTGAGTTGAAATAGCCATGTCCGTCTATCCGTCTGTCCGTCTGTCTGTCCGTCTGTCTGTCCGTCTGTCTGTCCGTCTGTCTGTCCGTCGGTCTGTCCGTCTGTCTGTTTCTACGCGAACTAGTCTCTCAGTTTTAAAGATATCGAATTCAAACTTTGCACACACCCTTCTTTCCTTTGCACGCAGTATATATAGCTGCCATATAACTGATTGATCGGAAATGCCATAACTCTGCTGTTTGTTATGTTAGGAAGTTGGGACTTTCTATGGGTTTTATATTTGGCCAATCAATCCAACGTACCAAATTTCATAAGGATCGGCCGACTATATCCTATAGCTGCTAAATAATTGATTGATCCGAAATGCCATAACTTTGGTGTTTGTAAAGTTAGGAAGTTGGGATTTTCTATGGGTTTTATATTTGGCCAATTAATCCGACCTACCAAATTTCATAAGGATCGGCCGACTATATCTTATAGCTGCCATATAACTGATTGATCGGAAATGCCATAACTTTGGTGTTTGTTAAGTTAGAAAGTTGGGATTTCCTATGGGTTTTATTTTTGGCCAATTAATCCGACCTACTAAATTTCATATGGATCGGCCGACTATATCCTGTAGCTGCCATATAACTGAACGATTGGAAATGCCATAACTTTGGTGTTTTTAAAGTTAGGAAGGTGGGATTTTTTATGAGTATTAAGAATGCATCATATGAATAATTTTGGAGAATATCACTTGCAGAATATTCTGCAAGGGTATTTCAACTTCGGCTCCGCCCGAAGTTAGCTTTCCTTTCTTGTTAAATATGAAGATTATCTCACGCAAGGACAAACATTCCAATTGACAGTTTGACTAACCTTTTCAATAGAGCATTGGATTCCTAGACGAAAGAGAAATGAAGTATTATTATTATACCCACAACAAGCAAGGACAATTTTAATCAATTTTGAACTATATATAGTTAACGTGTGAGTTTAGATTCCAACAAGATTAGTACTTACTAAAAATTGGTTTATATGGGGAGCACAAGAGACCGTAGTCGGACAGACCTAAATGTTTTCCACAATATTTTTGCCAAAAGATAATTTTTGTTTGTATGTGAAAATCGAAGAATTCTCAAAAGTTGTAGATACAAAAAAACTTCGAAGAAGAAATGGTTAAAATTAGTTGCATACCAAAACTGATTTAGGTGGCAATTGGGAAAAAATTATTATATCATATTAAAGTTGTATATTACATCAACCAAAAAAACTCGTAACCTCGAGGTAGCGATTGCACATTCAAATCAAAATTCTCGAATATCAGAATTGTGTGAGGAAAAATAGAAGAATTCATTAATAGAAAAATACAATATTTTCTTTTGTCGCACCCAGTAGGAAAAAGTAATAGCTTTTTTTCTAGATTAAAACAAAAACAGAACTAAATTTTGTCACAAAATTTGGTATTAGAAATTTCAGTTTTTTAAATTTTGCTCCTTTAACCGCAATTTCTGAATTAATCATAAATTCAAAAGAATAATATGAACAGATGTCGTAAAACCTAAATATGAGTTTGATATACATCCTGATACGGAGAAGTACGATCTCAGGCGCTTTGACCCGATGGACATTGTAACTGCATTGAACTGCGTTCTAAAAGGGTTCTGGCTATGACTGGCCTGGTGATGCTTCTTTAAATTTTCCGTATCGAAACGCATCGAAGTTCCTCTGATTTTGTCGCAGAAGTTTTTTGGCCCTTTACCTGAAAGTGGAAAGCGTTGGAATTTAAATAAAACCAATTATGTTTATAATAAAGGGTCAGAGAAAAATCAGATATAAAGGCAAATACTGCGAAAATGAAAATAAATTAAAACTCAATTTACATCAAAAATGAATTATTTTATTAAAGATAAAACAGTGGCCAAAACTTTGCTAATTAATTTGTTACAGAGGACTGGGGCTAAATCAGATTAAAGAAGTCAAAGTTGTTTTAGCTTCATTTATTAGTTTGTTTAACAACATGTTAACTGATCAAAACTTTTTCAGATTTAAAGCCATACCAAATATGTTCTGGTTACTGAAATTTATAGTTATTGTTTACAATGGCCAAAAGCAATACCCAAATATTTTCATAAGATTTCCCAATAAAAATGATGAAGCACAGAAAATATCCAAATGGAAAAGGTTTTCGTATAGTTTAAGCCCGTCTCTTTATAACACACAGTTACATCGCTTTGGGCTCTGCGTTACTTTAAAAACAAGAAAGGAAAGCTAACTTCGGGCGGAGCCGAAGTTGAAATACCCTTGCAGAATATTCTGCAAATTATATTCTCCAAAATCATTCATAATGCATTCTTAATACTAATAAAAAATCCCAACTTCCTAACATTAAAAACACCAAAGTTATGGCATTTCCAATCGTTCAGTTATATGGCAGCTATAGAATATAGTCGGCCGATCCTTATGAAATTTGATATGTCGGATTCATTAGGCAAAAATAAAACCCATAGAAAATCCCAACTTCCTAACTTAACAAACACCAAAGTTATGGCATTTCCGATCAATCAGTTATATGGCAGCTATAAGATATAGTCGGCCGATCCTTATGAAATTTGGTAGGTCGGATTAATTGGCCAAATATAAAACCCATAGAAAATCCCAACTTCCTAACTTTACAAACACCAAAGTTATGGCATTTCCGATCAATCAGTTATATGGCAGCTATAAGATATAGTCGGCCGATCCTTATGAAATTTGGTACGTCGGATTGATTGGCCAAATATAAAACCCATAGAAAGTCCCAACTTCCTAACTTAACAAACAGCAGAGTTATAGCATTTCCGATCAATCAGTTATATGGCAGCTATAGGATATAGTCGACCGATCCCGGCCGTTCCGACTTATATACTGCGTGCAAAGGAAAGAAGGGTGTGTGCAAAGTTTCAATTCGATATCTTTAAAACTGAGAGACTAGTTCGCGTAGAAACAGACAGACGGACAGACAGACGGACAGACGGACAGACGGACATGGCTATATCAACTCAGGAGGTGATCCTGATCAAGAATATATATACTTTATAGGGTCGGAGATGTCTCCTTCACTGCGTTGCACACTTTTGACCAAAATTATAATACCCTCTGCAAGGGTATAACAAGAAGCAAAAAGAATAACAAAGTATACTCCCTCTAATCTGGAGCCAAAATTGGACTAAAAATCGTCCGTGACTCGCCCACTAATTTGCTCATTTCTCAAGCCAGCTGCTAACCGGGAACGACTGTTTTGACAGAATTGCATGTGGTATGCAATATGTTCGCCATTCGGGACGAGTGGAGTTCTCCAGCCAGGCAGAAGTTTTTGCTGCGGCACTTTTTGATAGTGCAGTCACGCCACAGAATCCTTGGGGCAACAAAACACAGCAAGACAAAAAACTTGGAGCTGCAAAACAAATGGAATAATTAGCCAGAATAAGATGAACTTGCTCACGGCAAGAGGAAAACCCACAGAACAGGTGCAGCACTAGAACTTGTATTCCCAGGAGATAACCGAGCATCTATCTGTATCTGTTTTCGTTTTCTGTTTTTGTAGCTTTAAGGTGCGGAATGGTATCTGAATACCCACTGGATGACCAGCGGGCAGAACTAAAAACAAAATCAAAACCGGTTACAGAGAAGGAGTGCAAAATAAGA